CGCCTTGCTACGTCCCTATCTTCCTTCTATACTCGGTCGCTAATTTGCTAACTTTAACATCGTATAACAACGAACTAAAAGCTCGTATCAAAAAATGATTCAGGACTTTTTTACTTGAATTCTCGTCCTGTATCTCATGGTATACTCCAAGTGCGATAATTTAGTTACACCCTGTATATATATATATATACATCTAGTCTTTTTTGTAGTTGTAAATGAAAACAGTGAAATAAATTATGACCTTCAGATCAGTGTGTACTAAATTTGATTTGGGAAAAGCAACAGCAATTCGGACTATAAGACGAGTTACGCATGCCCTGCATAAGTTAGCTCCTCGATTTATTCAATGGCCTCAAGGAAGAAGGGCTACTGAAGTCATGGAAGCATTTGAGCGCGTAAGTGGATTTCCAAATGTGATAGGAGCCATCGATGGCACACATGTAGAGATACGATCTCCTCAAGGTGATGATCATCAAGCTTATATAAATAGAAAAGGATATCCATCAATCCATGTACAGGTAATGTTTCATGAAGTTGTTAAACAATTCTCAATATTCTTATGTATTATTGTAAACATAAATGCTGTTTTATTTACAGGTTGTGTGTACACAAAACTTATTATTTACAAACATTTTTGCTGGAAACGCTGGATCTGTGCACGACGCTCGAGTTTTCAGAACTTCCCTAGTAGCTCGATATTTTGAGAATTCAGAAATTTACTTTCCTAATGACAGTCATCTTGTTGGTGATGCTGCCTACGGTATCCATCCAAATATGATGGTACCATTTAAAAACAATGGTCATTTGAGTCATAGGCAGAAGAACTTTAATTTTTGTCAATCTTCAGCACGAATTCATATTGAAAGACTCTTTGGTACCTGGAAAGGACGCTGGAGGAGTATTTTGGATTGCTTGCCTATGATTACTTTAAAGAAAATACCGGAATACTTAGTAGCAACTGCAGTCTTGCATAATATTTGTATTTTGAATAAGGATTTAGTTGATGTCAACGTGGTGGTAAATCAACACATCCAGCGTAATACTTTAACATCAAGTAAAGTAGATGAGGGCAATAGAAAACGACAAAGGATAATGAACAATTTAATTATGAGGCTTGTTTAATGCGTACTTTTGTATAATATAGGAACTATATAGGAACTCAGAGTTTTCTTGTAATATCGCAGATTAACAATAAGTGAATATCATAATAAAAATCAAAAAACATAAAATCTTCCATGTGTGTATGTGTGTAAGAGCGATCAAATAATATCTGTTTTAACAGTTCGAACAAATCCGCAGTTTATACATAGCCATTAAAGAAAAAAAGGTACCTAATTAATAATTACTGTTAATTTGGGACTAGTTTGAATCATCTTACACTATATGTATGCAATCAAAATAAATAAAAAAAAACAAATAGAAACTAAGAATTTGAGAACATTGAAATTAACTTAAGAATTGCACACAATAGGATCCCAATGCAAGTTAGAACTTTTCTGCAATATTGCAAACAGAATATCACAGTAAAAATCAAAGAATACAAAATCTGTAATAAAATCTGTGTATAAAAAGAATTAGTCAAATAATTTTTTGCCTGCAACGGCTTCGCAAAACTTTTTCATTATATCCATTTTTTCTTCATGATGTTTTTCTTTTTCTTCTTTTAGTTCCTGTAATACAGCTAACTTCCTTTTCTCTTTTATCATTTCTCTTTCCTGCCTATCTTGCTTCATTTGCTTTATAAATTCATCTAAAACTTTTTCAGACTTTGGCTTCTTAGCAATAGGTTTATTGATATCATAATTCCAGGGAATGGAAAGTTACTTTTTAAAAATAACTAGTTACAGTTACTCGTTACCGAGTAAAAAATGTAACTAGTTACAGTTACAGTTATCGCTTTTTAAAAGTAACTCGTTACAGTTACCGTTACTTGAAAAATAACTTTTCGTTACTTTTCCGTTACTTTTTTAAAATCAATTTAAAAATGTATTTTTGCATTTTTTTTTTTATATGTAATACTGACAAATATATAGTTTTATTAAAAAGAAAAAAAAACAATGTAGAATGGCTCAAATAATAAATTAAATAATAGTAAAATGAGAAGGGTTACGAGCCAAAAATGAAACAGTTTATTTCCGATAAGAACGACGATGACAATGTAATTAAATGTCTCATTTTACTATTATTTAATTTATTTTTTAATTTTTTTTAAACACAATTTTGTAATTCTAAAACCTGTAAAATATGCAGCAAATTGAAATATTTGTATGTCCTATGTATTACATAGAAGATAGAAGTGTAAAATAATTACTGAATCATAACGGCCGAATGTCTAAGGGCTTTCAAGTCTTATTGATAAGCGCTATAAATAGCATGTATCCAATCGAACCGTATTCAATCGTGTGCAAAGTAACGACAAAAGTAACTGTAAATTTCGTTACCGTTACCCAAAAAATGTAACTCGTTACCGTTACAGTTACCAAAAAAAGAAAGTAACGCAGTTACCAGTAAAGTTACCAAAAAAGTAACTTGTAACTGTAACTTCGTTACAAGTAACGAGTTACTTCCATTCCCTGCATAATTCTCATCTATTGAACTTTCACATGAAGGCCCAGCCTCTGATGCTGTTGCTTTCGGATACGCCCATCCTGATTTTCCGAATAATTCATCCATTCTCTAAAAATAAAATTATATTAGAGCTACTTACATCTATTTGTGCATAGAAAAAAAAACATGCATTATAATATACCTCAAAATATTGCCATGACTTTCGATCATTTCCTGACACACTATTGTGGTCTATGATTTTTTTAAACATCTTTTTCATGCTATTCATTTTTGGCTGATATTGTATGCCTGATGCTGTAAATTCTGGATTAACGTTTTTCATGTCGCTTGCAATGCTTTCCCAGATTTTAGAATGACGTTTTGTACCTGAAGAGAACTCATTCATTCGTTCTTCATATTTTTCCAAGAGCAAATATACGTTCTTTGAAGACCATAGAAATAAAGTTTTGTCATTTTCTATAAGAAATCCAAAAAATAATTTGATCATAAGACAATAATAAAATTATTTAACACCATTAAGGGCATATTCTATAACTTTTAACAACTGCAACGATATCGTTACATTATCATTGCGCAGATTTTGTATACTGCAAAATAGCTGCGCAATAATAATTTAATGATATTTGTTAGAGTCGTTAAGAATTACAGAATAGATCCATTAATTTATACGCACCAGTTGACTCTTTGACATTTTGTGTCGATTTTACTGATTGTACATGTTTAGATGAGATATGCAAGGAATTTGTCTCTAAAGCAGATGAACATGAAGCAGAAGATGTATCTTCATCAAGCATATAAGTATCAATTTCGTTATCCGTGGTTTCATAAATCTGTAAAACTGATTCCTTTCGCCTTGCATTGTGTTGGTTTATTAATCTTAATACAAATGCATTATCTGTAAATTTATTACTCGAGAGAAGCAAAATATTAAAATTACAATGAGTTAACCTATAAATGTTATTCTTATATCTTATATTTTCTTACCTTTAGTTGGTCTTTCAGCTTCTGCTGCCGTTAATTGAAGAATTATAGTCTCTTTAGTATCCTCAAGATAAATTTGGAATGGTATGCGAGTATCTGTCATTTTGTAAAGAATTGATACAAACGACGTTCGATGTTGTATAAATTTTTGTGGTCAAAAATGGTATAAATCCGGATAATCGACGATTCTAACCTTGATTCAATCATATTTATAATAATTATTAAAACAATATTATTAATTATTATTATATTATTATCAATTACATTTAATTATTTTTATAAGCAGTTATATATATACTACGTGGATGCATCTATTTCACATTCACAATTCATATTAGTCCTCTATTCCCGCGCAAATAAAGAGAACGCTCACGCCGACCCACCTCCGGATCATGGTCACCGTGAGCATGTAAATTCAAAAATCCATGACGTCACTTTGCTCACGTAAAACGTTCAGAAATGAAACGGACCGACCGTGAGCATGCTGATGGCGCTGTAATCATGAATCGGACCGCGGCCATGATCTACTGCGCGGACCGTTACGCGTGATGCTGCGCGCGCAATAAAACAACGGCGCGAGTCTAGCCTTATTGTCACCCGCGTTTTGACATCGTTCCTACGCGATAGTGTTATTATCGGGGATTCGCGTCGCGTACGTTGGTGAGGTGACATCAGCGCTCGTGCAATCGGATAGTTTTGTTTGATAGTGCGTGTGTTCTCCCTTTTTTGGGAAGAATTATTAAAGG